CCCCAAAAAAAAAAAAAAAAAAAAAAAAAGAAACGAGGGAAGGAGGGAGGGAGGAAGGAAGCTCAGTCAGTTTTGGTAGGCAAGGGATCAATAACACTTGCAGCATCTCTGTGCTCAAGTATTCCAGTCACACGTGCCACATGGCTCAATGGGACAGGAGCTTGCTTTGAGCTGAGCAGTACATGGCATGAGATTTCTGCTCTCACAGGGAGCTTGGCTCCAGCAGGTCTGGAAGCTGATGCAGCTTCAGATGGGGAGGAAGCCACTCTTAGCATCAGAGACCTGGACCCCAGCAGACAGTAGGAAGGGGCAGGCTGTTCCATCTTCCTCTGCTTACCTCAGAGTCCACTTAGCCACCAACTCCACTTTCCTGACCCAAAACCTCCCCAGACCAAGCCCTAGATCACTGCCCTCAGTTGTCTCACCATGATGTCCTACCATACCAGACTCTTCAGGGGAGAAAACAAGTCACTGTCATCAGGAAGAGGACACAAGGTAGTTCAAAGTAACTGTGACCATAATGCCAAGAGGGAGCCACTACATGGTTTACCTTTCCACCCGCCACTGCTAAAGAGTGGAGCCACCTTCACAGGGGACAGCGGTGATGAGACTCTGTTCAGAGAAGGAAAATAATCACAAATTCCTCTAGCAAATTTCTCAGCATCTTCTCTAGTTGGAAAAGCTTTAAACCGGGACCCTTTGATCATTTTGACAGCTTGTAATGCTTCCTTTTTATCTTCATAAACATGGATCTTTTCTGGGTGGGAAAAGTAACAAAGGAAAATCAGAAACGAGTATCTGGAACCCCAGTCACTTAACTATACCAATGGTTTAACAGTCAACCGAAATAGTTGTTACCCAGAAACCTGATTTCATTCTCATATCATAGTTCAGATTTTCAGTCTTAAAGAAAGAGGTCCTGAGCCAAAAGAACCCAGTTAATAAGCTTGACCACAGAGGTGTGTCTGTAGAAATGTACACTGTGTACTTCTGTGTAATGCCAATCCCAACAAACTATAGCATACTAAGAAACAGTTCATGGATTAAAGACCTAATAAAAATCAATTTTAAAATTTCAAAAACTTTGAAAACATTAGCAAAGTATTTAGGAGAATTTTAAGAATAATTTTGGGTGAGGTGTGCCTTTCTAAGCATGCCTAAACACATCCATAAAAGGATGTCCATAAGTAAAACTACAAATAAAAAAAGACATTCTAATTTTTCCCTTTCTAGATAGAATGAGATGCATTTTGGAGGGGGAGTTTTCAAAGTTTTACAAATGCAATCCTTTTTTGGTCCTGGGAATTGAACTCAGGACCTTGCACTTTTATTTTATTTTTTGTTTTTTTTGAGACAGGATCTCACTATGTAGCCCAGGCTGGTCTTGAACTCACAGTGATCCTCCTGCCTCAGCCTCCCGAGTGCTGGGATTACAGGTGTGCACCACCATGCCCCACAAGGACATTGCACTTTCAAGGCAGGCAGTGGAACCACTGAGCTAAATCCCTGGCCCTCAAATGCATTCCTTTTAGCCTATACTTCTATATACTATTTTTATAAAAATAAGAGTGCGATCTGTGTATTTGTATTTATACTTTAGTAAATTAAAAAATACACTTAGACCCCAGCTATACCTTCTCTGAGTATCTTCCTGGAAGAGTTAAAGACATCATATCACAGTGATCCATGTACACCCATGTTTACAGCAGTACAGCTTATGATAGCTGAATCTTGGAAGCAGCCTATACTGTTATGTCAATCAACAGATGAATGGATAAAGTGTGGCATTTATACATAATGGAGTGCTACTCTGCCATAAAAAAGGATAGACTCAAGTCATTTGTAGGAAAATAGATGCACCTTGAGACCATAATATTAAGTAAACAGGCACACAAGCTTAAACACTGCATGGTTTCTTTTATATAAGAAACCCAATATACAAAGTGCAAAATAAAAGACAGATAATAGGAAAAGAGAGAGAGAGAAAAGTAATTATAATCCAGCATAGTCAATGTACCTGAAAGTGTACCTTAATTTAGTATAATAGTCTTAAGTGTTTTATATGTTTTTTGGTTTGTTAGTCTGGCTGTTAATCTGTGTTTATGATAATTAATTTGACTTATAAAATAAATGAATTTGATGCTGGCAAAAAAGGAGGGGAGAAAAAGGAACTGAGATGTGTTATGTACATGCACCAATTCTCTACAATGAATGTAGTCATTATGTACTGCAAACATGGACTAAAATAAAGTTGGATTTGAATTTAAAATAAATTTTATTACTCCTTGGCCAGGTATGGTGGTACACACCTATATTCCCAGCACTCATGAGGCTGAGGTAGGATTGCTACAAAGTCAAGGCCAGCCTAAATTACATAGCAAGACCTATTCTTTTTTTGTTTTTTTGGTACCAGGGATTGAACTTGGGTTTTTGAGCTTGGGAGGCAGGCGGCGGAACCAGATTTCTAGCCCTAAGACCTATTCTTGAGTATAACAAATCCTATTCTTTTTTTTTTTTTTTTTTTTTTTTTTTTTTTAAACAAATCCTATTTTTTTCCCCTGGTACCAGGGATCAAATTCAGGACCTTGCACGTGTGAGGCAGGCATGGCATACAAATCCTATTCTTGATCCTAAAAGTTATACATTCATAGGCCATTAAATTCATTAACCCCTAGTGTTCAGTTTATAATGAACAAAAAAGGGAATAATCCAACTCCCAGACAAATAGAAGCCAGCTAATCAGTATTTCTGAGTGGGGCAAAACTCATAGAGCTCAGTTTCTCAACCATTTTAAATTTCCTCACACAGATTTACAGAAAACACAGAAAGGCAGGCAATGTCAAAATACTTAATCTAGCCGGGCGTGGTGGCGCACGCATGTACTCCCAGCACTTGGGAGGCTGAGGCAGGAGGATCGCTGTGAGTTCGAGACCAGCCTGGGCTACATAGTGAGTTCCAGGTCAGTCTCAACTACATAGTGAGACCCTGGTCTCAAAAAAAAAAAAAAAAGTCAATCCTTTTTTTTTTTTGGTGGTGGTACTAGGATTGAACCACGATCCCAGCCCTTTTCTTTTGGTACTTGGGATTGAACTTGGGACCTTACACTTACAAGGTAGGGAGCAGTACCGAGCCAAATCCCCAGCCCTCATTTTTTAGTATCAGTGCTAAGTCACTAGGCTGCCCAGGCTAGGACAAATTTTTTGTTGGGTGGGGTATCATATTTTGTGCTTTACAAATAACTTTTCAGGCTCGAGAACCAAACTTAATGGGTAGTAACACCGCCTATCACTTTGATCTGTATCAGGTTATCATAATTGTTTGGTTTTGCTTTGTTTTCTGAGGCAGAGACTCACTATAGTCCGGGCTTCATTCCACTTAACTCAGCCTCCCAGTGCTGGGATCACAGGCCTGTGCCACCACATTCAGCTCAAAAGTTGTTAATCTGGACTCAAAAGCTCATGGTGATCAACCATACTTTTCTTTTTCTCGTAGTTTTCAGTATTCAACCCACTTGTGTGAGGATACACACAGAGCAACACGTTACCGTTTCTCACGGGGCCGTCTTCATACACCGGGCACACGCCATAGTACAGGGCTGGTACCTTGTTGACTGTCTCTCTAGCTGTATGGGTGTCAATCCCGGGTGAGGCACTGAGGGGCACTGGGCAGGTCTCAGACATCATGGCCTCCTCCTCTGGGGGGTTCAAGCCCACACTGTAACCAAAATCTCTGTCCTCAGAGTAACTGGCCCTCGTGCCCGCAGCAGAGATCAGCGTGCTTGGTGTGTCTGGGCCAACAAGGTCGGGAAGGGAGGCAGGCAGTGCCCCACCCTGCTCCAGCAAAGCCTGAGCCAACTTCTTCTCAAACACAAACCGGGTGGTTGCTGTGATGGGCCCACACTTTAGGCCAGCTCTGACAATCTCTTCTCTAAGATCATCTGAATTTAGGAGCTTCAGTCGTGCCAACACTGCCTCCATGGTCACAGTGCCTGGGGACAAGACAGCAGAGATGGATGAGCCGGGCAGTGGACACACAGGTGGCACGTGTGCTCTGCATATGCTCTCAGGTCCTATGAGACCCTCTCCTCACATGACCTATGTCCTCACTACCTCTTCAGATGCTGGTGTGAGGGAGGTTTTGTTCTTGCAACCAAGCTGGCTTAGGGCTGTGCCACTGTGATCCTGAGTATTATTGAAGCCCAAAGCCTCAGTTTCCTCACCTATAAAATGGACATAAAAACAGCTGTGCTATTAGGTTATAATGAGAATTAAATAATGCATATAAAGTCTGCACCATTGGGTCTGACACTGCTCATGCATGTCAGCTGTAACTATTAAGCTATCTAGGACACAGGTTTATTCATTTTTCCCAATGAACATGGACCGTGCTAGAAGTTAGAATAACAACAAGGCAGGGATACTGTTACTCACATGACTGTAAAACACACAGAAATTCACAAGACTGCTTACTGATGTGGGTGAGGTGAGAGGGAGCAAGGTGGAAAGAAAGGGATGGGAGAAGGCAGCATTTCTGACTATGCTTTTATAAGTTTCTAACTTTTGGTAATATATTTGTGATTCACACATAAGAAGTCACCAGGCATAGTGGTTCACACTTATAATCCCTGCAGTTGGAAGGCTGAGGCAGAATTTCTAATGTGAGGCCAGATTGGACAACAAAGAGTTTAAGGCTAGCCTGGCCTACATAGTGATACCCTGTCTCAAAAAAAAAAAAAAAAAAAAAAA